AATTGTGTGTGTATATATATATATTGTGTGTATATATATATATATATAATTGTGTGTGTATATATATATATATATATTGTGTGTGTATATATATATATATATATATATATATATTATTGTGTATATATATATATATTATTGTGTGTGTATATATATATATATATATTATTGTGTGTGTATATATATACATATTTATTGTGTATATATATATAGATAATATTGTGCATATAGATAATATTGAGTGCATATAGATAATATGTGTGTGTGTATATATATATATATATAGATAATATTGTGTATGTATATATAATATTGCATGTGTATATATATATATTGTGTGTATATATACATAAGATATGTGTGTGTATATAGATACATTGTGTATATATATATATGTGTGTATAATGTGTGTGTGTATATATATATGTAATATTGTGTGTATATATATAATATTATGTGTGTATACATATAATATATATGTGTCTATATATAATATTGTGTGTGTATGTATATATATATATAATATTGTGTGTATGTATATATAATATTGTATGTGTATATATATATATTGTGTATCTATATATATATATATGATATTATGTGTATATAGATAATATTGTGTGTATATATATATATGTAATATTGGTATATATATATATATTAGTATATATATGTAATATTGGGTGTGTGTATATATATATATATAATAGTATATATATATGTAATATTGGGTGTGTGTATATATATATATATATAAATAGTGTATATATGTAATATTGTGTGTGTATATATATTTATAACAGTGTATATATATGTATATTGGATGTATATATATATATATATATACAATAGTGTATATATATATAATTGTATATATATATATATATATATATATATATATATATATATTGTGTGTGTATATACATATGCATATGTGTGTGCAAAATATCAGATATATCTGTAAAAAAATACTATACAAATGAAATAAAAAAGTATAAAGTTACCAAATGAAACTTTAATTATATATACACACACACACACACACACACACACACACACATATATATATATATATATATATATATATATATATATATATATATATATATATATATATATATATATATATATAAAAAACACTAATATTTCATGGTTATAATCTATGACATTGGAATCGTTATCACGATCCAATTCATTCCAACGTAAATTATAACCATGCTTCTGAGAAGTACTTAGAAAGATGATAGATATATATATTTAAGTAAATTGCTTTGGTTTTCCTGAATGTGTTTTGATTAAAAATATATCTTCCGAATCAGAGTCATAGTCTCCGATTTAGACAAATTATTTTGAATTTTGAAGTATATTTCGAGAAACAAAAAAAAACTAAAGCCTACTCGCTGGGCATAACACTTTTTTTTATTATATTGACGATCTACTAAGCGACTTGGTTTAGTGTCATGTTTTCTTATGAGAGACTCGTTGCGATAACACAGTTTTACTTTAAGCAAGCAATAGATAAATGTTGTACGTCATTCATTGTAGCGATAACCTCTTAACTGAAATGACCCATGCTACCAAGGTCCAGTCACAGGCTTTATCCTAACTGGTGATTCATTTGAATGTTACTTGTTGAGATTGTCGACAAACGACTACACATTAAAATAAAATCAATTTGCTTGAAAATGATTCGGAAGATAGAGTAACAAAACGCCTGCTTTTTCTTTTAAATCACTATTTCTTTTTTGTTCTTGACAGGCACAATGAATATAAAAAGTGTTCTTTTTTTAATTTTCGTTTTTGTTTCTTTGCAATGTTTTGCTCGTTATCTTTGGGGTTGACGTTTTCAGGCCACAAGGTTCCCGCGTGTGACCATTCACTGAAATGTAAATTGATAACATTTTTATCGTTGACAACGTCACGAGGATTGAGACGCTGGTCGAAGAATAATAGCTCACCTCTGACGAAAGTATTAAAGAGATCATCTTTCATTTGACCGCCGTCTTCAAAGAATGTCTCTCGATAGTGGCGTTATACAAAAGACATTAGTTAGCGAAAAAAAAAAAGGGGCAAAGAACGAAAGTAAAACTGGGAAATAAATATAAAAGACAGACAAAGCTCTATAAAATAAAGACGAACAAAATAAACTCTAAAAGATCTCTCTTGGTAAGAGAGATATCGAAATAGGTCAGCTTTTCTCAGGGTCCCAACAGATGAGACATTGAAAACAACAACAAAACAGCAAAGTATTTAAAATAAAGAATGATTAAAGGAAGAGAAAAAAGCGGCGCTGTAAGACCCTTGATGAGGATTTAAGTAAAAACAATTGCAGTCTGGACAAATTGGGGAGAGAAAGATTTCATGTGGATATAACGGATTTATTTTAACTTAAAAACCGCGAGAAAAGAAGATGTAACTGGGATATGGAAGCTGTCTGTCTAACTTTTGACATTAATCTCTAAGCGATTCATTTAGCAAAGGCATCCAGTCGAATTTCTTGGACAAATCCTTATAAATACAAAAATATATCTCTTTCCTTAATCACTAAGAATGACAGAAATGATTTCTATTAAAGAAAAGTTACAATTATAATTATGTAAATCCTCAATATTTACATTTGTCACACACACACACACACACACACACACACACACACACACACACACACGCACACGCACACACGCACACACGCACACAGTTAGAATATTTGTTTGCCAACCATGAGATTCGGAGTTCGAATCTCACCATAGCCGATTTGTCAAGAAGGTGATGTTATCCGTTTGGAAAGTGCCTGAAAACAATGACGCAAGTCATCATGACTGAGTATGTGAGTGAACTGGCTTTATTCAAACTGTTCACCATGCAAGATTATACGGTCTCAAGCCAGGCATGAAACAGGTGACTCAATTTGAACACGAAGATTTGTGCCTGAGTTGGCGTCTGCAACAGGGATTTTCTATTCGCTTTCAAAGTCTGGGATGCTCGAAAACGAGTAACCGGTCTCTCTCTCTCTCTCTCTCTCTCTATATATATATATATATATATATATATATATATATATATATATATATATATATAATGTGTGTGTATGTATGTATGTATGTCTACCTTTATATGAGTCAGATTAGGCCTAAAATGGAATACTGCTGTCATGTTTGGGTGGGAGCTGCCCATATCTCACTGTTTAGACTTGATAGAGCCCAAAAGTGTTTCCGAGTTCTTGGCGGTGACGAACTATTTTCCACCCCTCAATTTCTATCTCACAGGCGCTACTTCCATAGAAAGTGCTCTGACGAACTACATTCCTTGGTTACAGCCAGGTTTAACTTTCACGGTTAGGACCCGCCATACCACTTACATGAAACAACCCACATTTCCTCCGCATTCCATTGGTGAGAAGTAAGTTCCATCCGAACAGACTCCCAAGAGAATGTTTCACTACAATCTTATCTTCCCCTCATATCCATATTAACTAGCCTTTAACATAAACCTCTACTTCGAGTGCCTCTTGTATAGGGTGAACCCTTTTTTTGTAAAAAAATGTATGTAATTTGTTTATCCATTCCACACATTATGCATACAAACATGCATTTCATAAATTTTAAAATAAATTTCCTGACGAATTGATGTAATCTCCACAGAACTCAGTGTAACATGATCATTTCATTTTATTTCTCAGTATTAATTTTCATTTCTCTTTATATTGTACACTGTAGTAGCAAAGAAAAAGTAATCTTTCAGAAATATCCTGGTCGACTTTTTGTGGGGTACAAATTCAAACGTATGTTATTTTTTTTAGTGGATACTCATATTGGAGTAGACGTGCCGCTTATATACTAAAAAGTATATTTATTCATTTTCGTCTAAGGACCAGAATATTCGAGAAATCTTATTAGAAAAAAAATATACGCTCTCAAGCAGGATTCAAACCTGCGCCCCCTTGGTGGGAGAAACCGTCGTTAGATCTTTTGATCAGAGTAGCATTTTTATGTCAAAGTTGAGAGCAGCCAACGCATTTAACGTATTATTTTGTAAAATGTCCCTTTTGTGTTCATATAATCTTTTATTTAGATTTCTTGACGTTCCTCCTGCGTATTTCTGTGACAGTTTCTAAAGAAGTGATTAATTTTATTAATTAATCTGGGAAAGATTAGGATACGAATCAGATTACTTTAAATCCCTTTTATGGCCGGACCGAACATTTTTGAAAATTGTCATATATATATATATATATATATATATATATAACGTTAAAACCACTGATGCCTGTTGAATACTAAACCTCCCACCGAAAATAAGGAAAATAAGAATGTTATGTTTTATATATATATATATATATATATATATATATATATATATATATTTACTCATATATATTTGTGTTTTTGTATTCATACATTTGTTTACAGTAAACAGAAGTGTGTGTGTGTGTGTGTGTGTGTAGAGGAAGCTGCTAATTACCGGGTCTATAACAAAGCCAAATATAAAAACATTCGAAGATTTTACCTTACTTGTCATGAAATTTAATTCTATAAACAACTTCACATTAAGAGAAATTAATATGAAAATTATTGGCTTGAATTTATGATTTTGAATTGACTTTAAATAGTCTTTGCGTCAAAACAAATTTGATAACAATTACCGTTTAATAAGAATGTTCCAGATTACAATGAACAACATTTATTTATAATGAGTATTATTGCCTTATTATTATTGCTTTATTATTAGTATGATTGCCTTATTACTATGAAATTTCTAATCCTCCTGTAACACTGTGAAGTTCGTCAGACATAACTGACTGAAACAGAAAAGATATCATTTTAACAGGAAGTAAAATATTACTCCCTTCAGATAAAATGCAGATTCAGTTCCTGACTTCCGGCCATTTCTAAGTCTGCTTATTTTTCTTACCTATCGTTTTATTTGATCAGTGCCGTTATTTTTTTCTTATTATTTCCCAGAAGGCCAAGTCGTCTGAAGTTGACCAGCAACTTCCGCTCATGGAACTGAAACGAGAGACTTCCCCATCCAACACACCAGATTGGTCATACACATTTGAAGTGGACTCATCATGCCGTGGTAGTAACTACAGTGGTAGCTTTATTGTTCATTTGCAGGGGAACAACGGTCTGAACATGGGATCGGGCGCTGTCGGCTTGTCTGAGATGCCCATACCGGACGTCGTTGGCGCTGGTCATCCCGGAAGTGTGGAAGGACGCATGAGTCGAGGAGCTGCTGGTGTTATCGGAGCGGCGACCCACCAACATCATCACCACAACAACATCAACAGTAACAGCAATGGTAACACGACTACTACTACTACTAATAATAACACTCACCATCATCACCATCATCATCATCATCACAACAGCAACGGCACAAATAATGCTAGCACCAATGGCAACAACCTCAACGGTAACAGCAACCATCATCATCATAGTCAACCACAGCATAATCTTCATCAGCATCATCATCAGCAACAGCAGCAGCAACTCCACCCGAACTCATTGGTTACGCAAGATGACCACAAACCGTTTATCTGTGCCGGATGCGGAGATCTCATCACCGAGCGATATTATTTAAACGTCGCCAATAATGCGTGGCATTTTAATTGCTTGAAATGTTACGAATGCAAATCAACACTTGACACTGAACGATCATGTTACGAGCGAATGGGCAACTACTACTGCCGGGAAGATTATCAAAGGTAAGTAAAAACATATATATATATATAAGATAAGATTTTTTTATGTTTATACGTTCTTTTTATAGATACAAATATTTAAGTAAATGCTCTGTTAATAATAAACAGTATTAACAAAATTTACCGGCCTGAATGTCCGAGAAATTTTCAAACAAAAGGCACGTCAGGCTATATGACGGTTCCGTATAAGATACAAGTTCGATTCCTGTCGGAGGACGCATATTTTCTATGAAAATTTCTCGGACATTCAAGCCGGTAAATGTTAATACTGTTTATTATAAACAGAGCATTTACGTAAATATTTGTATCTATAAAAAGACCGTATAAACATAAAAAATGTCTGAAGAATAATTGTCGGACTTTTATTCATTTCATAATATATATATATATATATATATATATATATATATATATATATATATATATATATATATATAAACTGTTTTTAAAAAATTTGGATGAGCGTCATGTTACAGTGAGACGATTATCATATTTTTTTCGCAAAGTTAAAGTTCGTAATAATTTTCAATTGGCCGAATTTATTACATAAAACATTGGGTTATTATTATTATTATTACCAGTTTTTCTACTGGATGTTGCTTTTTATTTACATCATGTAAATTTATTGTTTGAATTATGGGGATGAAGCATTGTCATTATGATTCATTTTTGACTAATATTTCTTTAATCTATTTTGGTAATAGATGCAATAAATATAAATAATCTTAGATTGTTTGAATTTCTCAGAAGAAACATTGTTATTATTGTCTAGTCTTTCATTTTTTTCTTTCATGTTTTTTGTTCACGTCCACCTGATCATAAAGTAGATATGTTATTCTGAAGTTGTCCTAATTTCTTAGATAAAACAGTTATATTATTTTAATTAGTCTTTCTTTAATCTTAAATATCTTGTTTCGTTGCTCCTCGTAATAGCAAATGGAGTAATAAAATTGATCGGAATTAATTAGATAAAACATTGCTATTATCATTAAATTCTGACTGAATTTCTGGGATGAGGAATTTATTTTACAGTACTTAAATTTGGTCTAACTTCCTCATATTTGTTGTTATTACATCAACGTTTCAGCCGTTTTACGCCTCAGCCTTCTTGAGATACCTGCTGATTTGTGTAATCTTCAAGGAACTGAACCCTTTATTTAAATCTGCGGAATTTGGTTGTTCTCGTTCCGCTCTCCATGACTCGTGATGTCTTGTTATTTTTAGGATTGTTTACTTATTGCTGGCTTTGTTTATCCTTGGTTTGAATTTGTACCCAACGGCCCAGGGATTGAAGTGACAATTACTACCTACGCAGAAATTCAAGAACTAAAGTTTGAATCCACTAAGTCCTTTGATATTCATATCTAACCTGTCTATATCTACATTGAGCAACGGATAGATTTATTGATTGAACATATGACAGGATTCACGATAAGATTAAAAGGTCCTTGCTGCTACCTCCTGAATAAGTAGAGTAATTATGAGGGAGGGGTCTGTGGTAATAAAATAAGCATCTCTCTTCCAGTTAGTAGCTATCCATTACAATAAAATAAACGTTTTTCAGCGCTAAACCTGAATTGGTCAAATAAAGCTTCATAAGTTTAGGGTACGTCGACGTAGTGTAATGAGTGGCAAGCGTGTCTCGTTAGAACTTACAACTGAGTTGTGAGTTCGATCTTCATTGGATGCCCCAATTCTTTAGTCCTTGTGCCACATCTAAGCTACTTTTATAAAATCACAGTAATCCTCTACTTAAAGTTGTACCATATTACAGGGTTTGACCATGTTTATTATTTAATTTGAATTTCATAGAACCCTGTGAAGATAATATCGGTGGATTTTCTTTTGATATAGCAAGATAATTCTGTTGATAATTTACGAGAATAAATAAATATATATAAAAACAAAAACAAAAATAAACACAAAAAAAAAACAAAACAAAACAAAAAAAAAAAAAACAAACTAGTGAGCCAGAACCTACCTACCAAAGTTTCACCTTACAGATGTTCAGAGTACAAATGGCCCGTACTACCCTATTAGCAACTATATATATATATTTATTTATTTAGTCTTGCTCTAAGCTCCAGTTGTGGGCATCGGTATTTATGTAGCTTAATTTTTCACAATATTGGGGTATCAATATCTGTCTATATCTCTGAGATGATGTATTAGGATTACTTACATTGTTTACATTATTCGGACTGTTATCCTCATCTTCATTGCTATATGGACACATGGGCCAGTGGACAAAGACGTTGGTTAGATCCAGTGACTAGACCCAAAGAGTTGTGTGTTCAATACCAGGCCACAGCAGTGGTGAATCAAACTTGAAGAGTTGAATTAAAGGGAAATAACTGCGACATCCGGAGAAGGCACTCTACCCCGGTGGACGAAATAAAGTGTTCGGTTCGAAATTCCAATCTTCTGAAGAATGCCGGAGCGTATAACGGCCGAAACGTTGTGAATATGTGAATGAAGATGAGGATAACAGCCCGAATAATATAAATCATAAAGCATCAGTTGTGTATCGAACCCAGTACGCTAGCCAATTGATTTGAGAGACAAGGTTTCTAACGACGGAACATCGATAGGTGGCCATCTGTATCCTTTTTCTTCATATTTGTCCCCTTTTTTAGCGTGTCGTGTTTAGAACAAGAGGCAACAATGATGAGGTGAAATAAAACACCAGACAAAAAAATGCTAGTGCTGTGAATTACCCGGAAGTTACAAGTGTTAAGAGGAAAGAAGAAAATGTGTTGCACGTGGACAATTTCTTTTTTTTCTTTTCTTACTTCTTCTACTTCTGTCTTTTGAGTTGCAACTTGCAGGAAGAAAGGAAGAAAGAGATCAAACACACAAGAGGAGGATCACTTGACTCTCACAATTCCCTGACCTGCATTCTCTAAAGGCTTTTACATTCGCTAAGACAATGGATATAAATAGGGTTAATATGGTTCATGGACATCTACGGGGATCACGGTATAAAAAACAAAAAACAGTGCATGATGAACCCGTTTTCTAAGACATTAAAAAATGCAGTATTCTCACTTGATATTCAGCTGCGAGAATCGCACTTCATTCTAACAACCATTTTAATGGGGCCACTTCTATTATCTTAAATTTACCCTGGCTTAAAGGTCAACATCAATGGGATAATTCCTTAACCTTAAAAAAAATTCTAAAAGTTTGCCCAAGGTGACGAAAACCTAAAAATAATAAATCAGAAATGATAACGATGATGGCATTTAAATGGTTGAATTTCACATCTCACAATCGATGAATTTATATACTTTTATATCTATTGAAAACAATTGCTTTAATTGCTTTAAAAATAAATTTTATTGTCATTTTTTTTACATTTGCTTGGTAGAGCAAATGGCCACCTATCGATGTTCCGTCGTTAGAAACCTTGTCTCTCAAATCAATTTGCTAGCGTACGGGGTTCGATCCTCAACTGATGCTCCAATTACTTACATGAGTTATATTATTCGGACTGTTATCCTCATCTTCATTGACATATTCACAACGTTTCGGCCGTTGTACGCTCCGGAATTCTTCAGGTGATTGGAATTTCGAACCGAAACTTCCAATATCCCCCACCGCTCCAGAATCCGTGTGTCCAGAATTGGTTTGTGGAATCACGTCCAGATTAGCTGATGACTTGCCCGATAAGACTTTTTTTTTTTAACCCGACTGTAATCCTAACTCGGCTGACCTCATTTCAAGCCGCTATCCATTAAACCGACAGCACATCCTCAAAGCAAACACAAACTGCCTCAGTCGGAATTTGATATTATTTTTGGCGCCGATAATCATTACGACATCTGCATATCCGTAATTTACAGTGAAGAGGACCAAAAATGTTTTAAAATATTTCCCGAAAAGTTAATCTCTGCCAGTTCACTTACTACTTTAATTTTTTCCCAGACTTATAGTAAAAGTAAGATAATTATTTTTACCAATATACACACAATACAATGCCCAAGTATGCTCACGGTAAAGGGTTGCTGTGTTGTGTTGTATGAGCGTAGGGAAAGGTAAGAAGTGAAGTACTTGGGGCTGTGCAGGCAAGATAACAGCTATTTCTAGATATAAAAAGGTCAAGATTTAATTAGGGAATACATTTCAGAGTTCAGTCGGAGATATTCAAGGTAGAGTTTGGAAGTACACTTTCGAAGGAACTGGAAACCCAGTCCTAAACCGGAAACAAGGGATAACCCTCTACTCTTGTGGAAAATACAAGAGAGGAGTGTGAACCAGTGAATAAAAGCGTTGGTTGATTGAACCAAAAGGTTGTGAGTTCAATCCCTGGCCTCACTGGAGAGAACAAAAACTGGGCGAGTTATCAAGACGTATTAGCTAAACACTGAGGCACGTGGATGTGATGTGAGAGTAATCTATACCTGTGGAATAAATAAAGGGTTCGGTTCAAAATTCCAACAAATATCACCTGAAGAAAGCCGGAGCGTACAACGGCCGAAACGTTGTGAATATGACAGTAAAGATGAGGACAACAGTCAGAGCAACGTAAACAGTTTAAATAGTTACAATATCTCATCTCAGAAATATAGACCGATCCTGAAGAATGCCGAAGCGTACAACGGCCGAAACGTTGTGAATGTGACAGTAAAGACGAAGACGACAATCAGAGCAATGTAAACAGTTTAAATAGTTATAATATCTCATCTCAGAAATATAGACTGATCCTGAAGAAAACTATCTTGGACATATGGACAGATAAAACATCGGCGTTTGTACTTTAAAATTACACGCTGATTTATATAAAATCCGAGTCCATTGAAACAATATATTAACAGATTTAATTTCATAATGACTTTCCATCTGTTTACCCTTAATGTTGGCACAAGTTTAATTGCTATCTATTTATGTCTCATTATATCTATCAGTCTATTATTTGATCACTTTCCATTAAAATCACATCTATATATATATAGACCCATTTCAGTTTTTCTGACCCCGTCGTATCTTCCTAACATGTTCTGTTGAAAGCAATCTCTGTTGATCTCCATTTCTTTTGCAGGTTATTTAACACACAGCGTTGCGCGCGTTGCAACATGGGAATCCAGTCGACAGACTTAGTGATGCGTGCCAGAAATCACGTGTATCACGTGACCTGCTTCACTTGTTTTACGTGTAACAAGGCTCTTCAGGCAGGTGACACATTCGGACTCCGTGACCATTTGGTCTACTGCCAGATTCATTACGAAAATTCTTACCATGCAGAGTACATAGCCTTGTCTCCAGACATGAATGCTGGTCAACTGCCCTATTACAACGGTGTAGGAACATTACAAAAGGGTCGACCGAGGAAACGACGAAGTCCGAACATCAGCTCCGATGAATTTGCACAGAATATTGGTAAGACGGAAGTTTATTTATTTATATACTAATTTATTCAAACTGTTGCCTTTACCATCATTGTTATAACCACAAGTTTCCCACTTTTGTGATCATCGAATTGCTTAAATGCCTCTCATATTTGTTATAAAGAGTTCCTTTCAAAATCCCCTTACACTGTTAAACATTGGGCCGCATGTCGTATAACTCATTAATAGGTGGGATGTACTATTAAAGATTAGATTTATTCAGGAAACCAAACGAGCCGCAGTTTTTCCATGAGAACTCTTGCCTTTCTTGGCAACCAGTTGAGGAGGAGGACAAATCTGAATTCGAAACCCTAGAGGAGGCAACTGAAAAATTGTTTAAAGAAAAAAAATCAGAATCAATAAAAATCAAAGTTGCAGTTATGAAGACAGGTTACCAATTTTATTTCTAATTTTAGTTCAGTTGACTACAGTAAATGGCAATATTACTGTCAGGTTAGTGAAGCACGTTACAACAATGGTTACTCAACTGCCAGCTCTTTCCTGACAATGACTTTTGGTCTACCTGTGATAGGTTCAAGAATATAGATTGTCAGGGCCGCATTGAAGGTTTAATAGGTGTGTATTTCCTGCTGGTTCACTTTCAGGCAAAAACTATCATTTCAAAGGATGATTTTCAAGATAGAAGATTAACACAAATTATCCTTACACTTTGATTTTGGGCTGAACTAAGCAAAGAATATATGCAATGGATTTCATATGACTAACTTACACAAGTCAAAAAATAAAATACACACACAAATATATATATATATATATATATATATATATATATATATATATATATATATATAAAAAGCAACATTAAAATTCTGTGACACAATAAATTCCAGTATGAGTTAAATATCAGAGGCAAAAAGTGTCTCTCTGGGCCAGTCATATGCAACCATTTTCGAACATTGGGTCATATGAGATAATAACTGATAACGATCCGCAATAATAAAAGAATCAGGATTTTCGTTGAAGGTTTCTCAGGCATTTTCAATGTAGAAGACCATATGCTTAAATATCTGGAAATGTTGATTTTATTCTTGGGACAAAATAATTTTTTCTGTTATTAAAAATGTTGAAACTTGACTAATGCATGGAATAATAATGCAACACAAAATGTACTTAGAACAAAATGTATTGAAACAAGAAAGGTACACAATACTTACATATAGTCTTTTGTATATTCCTGGGAAGACCGTTCCTGGAGAATGTGTTGACTGAGTCGCAGTCGGGCAGAGTCTCTGGTTGAATCTCTTGATTCCCCCCTCTCTTCCTGGTACCAACCATATTTATATGGTCGGTACTCCACTATGCAAATTAGGTGGATCCTACCACAACAAAAAATTGAAGTCTTGCTAAAATATTATGACAGTGGGATTAACACAGACGGTTGTACGTAATTTTTTTATGAATTATTCATTTGACTATATGAAAAGTGTGTTTGAGTGTATATATATATATATATATATATATATATATATATATATATATATAATATTATATAATTTGTCGGACAAAAATTCAACACCAATATACAACACCACAAAAATAATAAATAAAAACTTCAAATTTCCCTATATCAAAATTAACCAACCAACCTTCAACAAAATTTATTATGAGTGCAGCAGCAACGTATTTAAGTGCATATAACAAACATTTAATGTCAGTTCACATTTCTACTAATTTCTGGTCAGCTCTATTATACTGAAACAGAGCTACAATGGACAAATTTAAACAAATAACGGAGAGCGTATTTTTTGTTTCTTTGTAAAAATCACCGTCACAACGGAACGCAGATTTTATCGCAGTTACAGTAAGTTTGTCTTTGTAATTTAACCCTGAAGATGATCTTGGAAAAGATCGAAAGTACTTGGGTTAGAAAAAATACAGTGCCTTCCTTGATGAATTTCATCTTAACATCAAGAAACTGATTAGAGAAAGATAAAGGATCAGTATAAAATTAGACGCAATGTCTCTATATTATTCAATGAAACACATTTTCACATTTTGAATATATATATATATATATATATATATATATATATATATATATATATATAAGAAATTGTAAATATAAATATAAAAGTGAGCATTGAAGTTAGCACTCAGAGGCGACAGGCTGTTTCATGCTGAACGCAATCGTCAGGCCGCCGTAATAGTGATAGTGTGCACTTGAATGATAGTGAGTGCTTGAATGCATTCTTCAGGCCTGAAGATAGCATTAAATCATGAAACAGATTATGTTGATCTCAATTGCATTCTATTCTACAACTCTTCCTCCCCTTTCACAATTTCTTCCTTCACAGCATTTTTCATGTATGCTTCCCGGTCAGAAAATCTAAATGATTTCAGCTCCTTGGAGGCTGTGATCGGACAGATACTACAGTCTAATCCTAGTTAAAGAAATATAAATGACACGCACATAAACTATCAGAATCGTGAGCAAAGTCTCTTGGTCAGAATGCGTATGTATTTTCAGCTGTATAGCGCTACACATCGTGCAGGTATTACACTTTGATCCGAGGTAGAAATGTGTAACACTCGTTCATAGAGACAAGCAAAATAACAGTATCGATAATTTTGATCAATATCACTTTCGAAAATAAGTCTATTTTATATGTCTTTATTTGTTATGGTTTTATTGATTTTGAATTTGATTATTTAAAAATTGTAATTAGTCGCAATGGATTCAGTCATTATTGATTCGAATTTAAAATATCCGATTTGTTTAAACATTAATTCTCATTTCAGAATGACACTGAAATCGATAATGCTTGATTTCGCGAAAGTACGAATGTTTAAATTACGAATTGCTTACACCATTGATTAATTGTAATCGGAAATATCGGATTAATTAAGCAACAATTGGATTGGGCAAATCCCATGAGTCATCTTGGTTGTTAGAATAATGGTCTATGATATGTAAGGTCCAATAATGTTTTTTCTCAATCGTAAATTCTTATTTAACAACGACTTGTTTCTCTATTTTTTTTTTTAAATAAATATTTTTAAAAACTAAATTCCCAACTTGATTTTTAACTATTTTATTATTTATTTTCATTTCAGTCACCGTTCGTTTGTTCCTTTTTTTTTTCCTTCACACTTCCTTTCTTCCCCCATCTTTATTTTTTTTTTCATTCATGATATTTTGTCTATATCCTTTCAGGTTTTTTCAATTGTTTTCCTTCTCACTGCATTTTTTCTTTCTTTTTCTTCTCTCTCCCTCCTTTATTGTTTTTGTTTCTTTCCTACTCTTTCTGTTTTCATTCTTTCCTTCCTTTTACCTCTTTTTGTCTTTCAATTTAGATCGTTCATTGTCTGTCTTGGATGACTTTTCGTTTTTAATCTTTCACCCATTTTCACTTTGAAAGTAAATTTTCCTGTTTTTTCTTTCGTCTTATATTTTCTTTAATTTTCATTTTCCATATTTCTTTCTATTTCTCTCACTTTCTTTAGTTTTTTTACTTCTTTTTCTCATTGTCTCTTTTCTAAACATTTTTCTTCCTGTTTTTTTTCTTTTTTCCTTTCCTTTTCTCATTATCTCTTTTTTTTTCATTTTTTCTTCCTTTCTGTCATTCGACGTCTCCTTTTTATTTTCAGGTTCTTTTTCTTTTTTTTCTTCTTTCTTTCTATTATTCTTTTTGATTTCAGTTTGTTCGCGTTTCTTTTACTTCTCCCTTTTATTTTTCATTTCTTTCTTTCCAACGCTTTTCCTTTTCTTTTACGTCAACTTTTCACGTTTCTTTCCTTCCCCTCTTTATATTTTTTCTTTCTATCCATTCATGATTTTTCTTTCATGTCGGATTTTCTGTTTACTTTTCGTCTGTCGGTTTAATTTCACTACCTTCCTTATATTTCTTCCTGAAAACATTAAAACTCTTTTACTCTTTCTCCGCGAAAATTCCTTTTATTTAATCAAGAGATAAAATGTGTTACAGATTTCCTTAAAAGAGAATCCAATTTATACCATGAATAGAGTTTTATCAGTCCTTCCACATCCTGCCACTGTCAACCGACCCCATCAACCATTCCCAAAGCAAGAGCTCTTTTCCATAGAGTTGGTAAAATTGAAAATATTACTTTATACTCACCTCGCACTAGTTAGCAAAATACTATCTCATTTGAGAGCGTCCGATCTCCACGAAGTGGCTCATACTCGTGATCCTTTGCCAAAGCAAGCTAAACTCATGTATAACAGAATTTAAGGATTTTCAAATTTATACTGATCACAAAATTCATGCTTGAGGACCAGATACTGACATTGTAAAACGAAAACAAAAAAAAACGTATATGTAATTGGATGTCGCCGTTCCGCCAGTACGAAAAATGAAACTGCAAAATAATTTGTGGCAAAAGGTTCATATGTGCATCTCTTTTGTGCAACACCTAGATTCTTTCACCATACCGGACATTATTGAAGAATGCGCCACCCTCTAAAACTCAGGCACGTGTTGTGCACTGGTGTGTTAATATTACTTATTTTTATTTTAGTTCTTTCAATGAAAAGCCTAAGAACCACCCAAGGTAGAGGATTACTGTGTGAGATTGTTATAAGGAAAAGGGATAGATGAAATAAAAATTATATGTGATGAAGATATGTAGGATAAATATCTTTTTATTCTAGACTTGAAGAGATTAACATCGTAATGATCCGGGAAGCATCCTCTTGGGAGTATCTTCCCCAAAGTAATGGAATTGGAGAAGAAGCTGTCAGAGTGGAACTTTTTCCTTGCCAAAGAAAAATACGATAGGAGGATGATTGACACCGAGTACGTGGCCTGGTAGGTCCTAGTTTTGAGGCAATGAACTGGTGGAAATAATGAATTTAGCTGGCTTAAACATTTTCCATAAAAATACCGACAAATTAGTGAGAGGCGAGCAACGTTTCATCTGTCGGATAGGGATTGCACAGTGGATGGATTGAATCATTCTTTAATGCTTATCAACCCTTTGTGGTTTATTTAAAACCGAAACTTATTTAAGATTGCAAGAATAATAATTTTTAATGAGTGCATATTGCATTACCAATTTTTTTTTTTAGAATAACAATGATTTTTCCAGATGAAAATCCTTCTATTTTACCCATAGCTAGGGGAAGAGAATGTTTGCTCGTAAGTGAATGTAACGAACCCGATTGGAATTCGACCTCACAGTTTCGATTTCTTATTCCTAGACTCAATCCATTATTTGAAGTGTGTAATGTATTCGATCAGCACTGGGAGACCAACGTTATTAGCCATGTGTTTGTATGTGGGCATGGTTTTATCATTATTTCAAATTATTCATTTGTAGTTTTACTCATCACTATCATCATTTTTACCCGTTTAATATTCTTGAACCTAAATTAGCTCTACCCTCGCTACTCAGAAGTCTATTTGCGGTCTTGTCCATCGAGAAACGTATTATCAAAAATAATTCAGAGGCGGGTTTTAAGCTGATTTATATTGGGTCAGCAAGGTGCTTTCATTCAGAGGCGAACACAAGTTCGTCCTCTTTTCATTATTAACAAAAATTAACGCCTTTTTTATGCTTTGGTTCAAGGGGTCAGGACCAGTAGTGTTTGAGCGTACTTTCGACTAAAAGATACACGTTTAAAAGTATCGGACCAATTAATAATTGGTTCTTATGCTGGCATATATGGGCACTTTATAAAATAAATTTCGACAATTTTAGCATTATTTTTCCCAGCAGTAATAAGTGTCAGGTGCTGTAGGAGGCCAAATGTCACTATGGTATTATTTCGCAGAGGGAGATACTTGGTAATGTACATTGCATACGTCCTTTTGACAAACTTGGGTGCTTGTAACAAACAGCAGGTTCGTGAAGCAATGGTTAATCACTCAATCTCCTCAGCCTATTCGAATTTTATTGACTTCGATCTTCACTAGACAACATACACATATGGCTCAGATAATATATATATATATATATATATATATATATATATATATATATACACACACACACACACACACACACACACACACACACATATATATATATATATATATATATGTGCGTGTGTGTATATATATACAGTGTGTAACAGCAAAATTGTCCGATTGTTAGATTAAGATTTGAACCGTCTTATCTTGGAAATGATTAAAAATATCTTACTGGAATTCTCCGAGGTTTTTATAAAACTATTTGATTTACTTTGATCAATGAGAATGTATAATTACTCTGCAAGTTCAACAGAAGAATCGTGATGAAATCGATCATGAACGAAAATGAAAAGTTCATCATTAATTAGTCATAGCAAGAATCGGAAGCTCATGGAGGTTTGAGATAAAGCTCATATATATATATATATATATATATATATATATATATATATATATATATTCCAGGATCATTTTTCTAAGTTATTCAAGATGATCTTCGCCCCCTTTAACCTTCTAACTTTATGTCCTGTAGTAACAAGGTGCCTCACATGTTTCATGTACGATTTCATTTTGAAGTTTTTTTCACTGCTCTTTGGACTGTCATGGCTGAAACTTGTCTCTCAAGTTCCAAACCTCTTATGGATTGAGTTGGATCTTTTCTAATTGTTCTATTTAGCTCTAAGTTGAAATGATGATCTCTCTTTCTGTTGTGACCTCCTGATCCAGTTTCCTTTCTACTGTTCCCTCTTTTTTAAACTTATTCACTGTTCTCTTGATGGTTCTTCAATGGACATTGAAGATGGAAACCAAAGTTAGTACCATTATTGAAGGCCTGAATGATCTTTTTTTCCTCTCTCTCACCATTGCTTGAAAAAACAGTGGGGCTAACACAAAACGATTTTAACATATTCTCTTTCTAGCTGAATAACTCAACGGGCTTTCCGTGATTCTTACAGCAAATGATATCAAAATGGCGAAATGTCTTATCTGAAAACCTGAAAAAATCAATTAGTTTATTGTTTTTTAAAGATATTAAACATTTTGTGAGATGTACAATTATGCTGTAACACGATTTGGCCAATTTTGCTATTACACCTAGTATATATATAGAATTACTTAAACGTTTTATTTATAAGATGTTTTATTTATTAAAAACAGTATATTTATTTTCGACAGAATATTCCAGAAATCTTCTTCGAGATTATATATATATATATATATATATATATATATATATATATATATATATATATATACAGGGTGTCCATAAAGTTCGTGTGCACTTTAAAAAATTATAACTTTATTTGTATTTGCGATAGAAATAATTTGTAAAAAGGGTTAGAAAGAAGTAAATCTATATTTTCAAGGTTGTATTGGAATTTTATTTAAGCTTCCACATGTCCTCCATCATTAGCAATACAAAGGGTAATACGATTTTGAAGTTCACGGAAAACATTTGCCAACTGATTTACAGTAATGCCTGAAATCACATTATTTATTTTAGCTATACTTAAAACTAGGAAACATTAAACTTTATAACATTTTTTACTGATTATTTGTATCGCAAATACAAATAAAGTTATAAATTTAATAAATTGCACACAAACTTTACGGACACTCTGTATATACTTATATATATATATATATATATATATATATATATATATATATATATATATATATATAGTCATGAAAGAGCTGAAATAAAAAACAGCGAGCGCTGAAAAAATATAAAAAAAAAAGCGATGGGTGTATATACCCGGGGTGCATTTGCTTTCGCCTGTGTATGCGTGCGTGCGTTCGTGCTTGTTTGTGTCAATCGTAGGTATAAAAGGTGTTGGTCAGGGGTAGGTTGGTTCCTCAGTGGGGGTAAGCATCTCAAGTTTATGGAAACGGAACTGGATCCTATACAAATAGGAGGGCGACTGTTTATAGTGTCAATATTCAGTCATCGGGTTTCATCGCCGGCTTCCCGCTCACTTCATCAACTGTCATCTTTATTTGCTTATATGAGTCTACCTACACACGCCTGCCACAATGAGCGCATATAGTCTAGCGTTGGCAGCATGCCTTACAAGCCGGGCGCTTACCAACACACACACACACACACACACACACACATTCACATAATTCAGCTTCGCACACGAGCAGAAATATGGCGCGTGTTGTAGAGCAATGGTAAGATATTTTATACTTATCCATATATTTCAGATGTAAATGTAATTGCTTATTGAAAAAAAAAAAACTGTAAATGTAATAAAATTATATAATTATTGACGACAAATTAGTCACGAACAGAGATAGATAGATACGAAAAGCCTGGGATAGATAAAGAAAGTATATGATAGATAGATAGATAGATAGATAGTTACGAAAAGCCTGAGATAGACAAAGAAAATATATGATAGATACATACATACATACATACATACGAAAAACCTGAAATAGTGTGTGTGTTTGTGCGTGTTATTGCGTGTATATATATGTGTATCAATAAGCGGTATACAAGTAGTCAAACGATTATAGGCACAAATAATGGAATCCATCTGACTTTAAAAGGCATGGATAATGGATGTGTCTTTCTCTTTCTATACACCTATGCTGTTCTTACATCTACAGAATCCAGTTCAACACTTTCACCAGTTATGCACTTATAATACTTAATGGAGTAGGAAACTTGTGATTATGATATACTTGCATTGCCAATGCATATGAAGAGACATGACTTGTGCTTTCTCGACAAACTGATGCCATGTTTACTCACCAGTTTCAAAGAAGCGAGATCGAAACGCTCGAAATATTGTGGCTCCAGGACAAATTCAGACCAAGTTTCAGAAATGTCTCTTGCTCCTTTTGGAGGAACAAATATTTCTTAATCTCTTGGTCCGAAGTTTCTGGCTTGCTCATGCGATTATTAACAATTCCAAAAATAAGTATTGGTTAGAGAGGTGGAGGGGGGCATGCTGAAGAGTGAGTTTTACAAATGAATTTAATTCCTTCCAGGGTACCATCATTTTTCTCTCTCTTTCCTCCTCTCAGGAACAACTAGCAGAATGAAGGAAAATAAATACGCACACGCAGTTGGATGAATGCCTCCACACAAATGAAAAAAGTAAATATGTATGCACATATATTACGAACACACACACAAACCTACATTACATAACTGCACCTTCGACAAATGCATAGCTTTAAACTTTTTAATTATACACTGAAGGATTTTCGGTAGAGTTTAGTAGTTATATTCAAAGCTTAATAATTAAAATCCCTTGTGTTTAAAGGTTCCATCCATCCATCCATCCATCCATCCATCCATCTCTCTCTCTCTCTCTCTCTCTCTATATATATATATATATATATATATATATATATATATATATATATTATGCGGTTATGTTTGGATAAGCAAACATGGTTAGTAGATATAGATGGTGAAAGTGTCAACGGGAAATGTGCATTTCGTTAAAAAATTGACATTGTGTTTGGCTTTGCTGTAGAGGCACTCGGTGGCGGAGCGTTGAAATCACGCCTGGCTGAACATAGATTTTCATAAATGGATGTGCAGGTTCGATCCCTGTCAAGGTTTACATATTCTCTAATACAACTTTTTATTCTCTAGCTTGACGGAAATTAATTTCACTGTTTAAAAGCGGAAATTATGCACACACAAACACACACACACCATATATTTATATATATATATATATGATCAAATATAGTTTTAATGTGTGCTTTATTTATG